CTCACAACCCTAACACTAACCCTAACGCTAACCCTAACGTCCTAATCACTAAACTTTCTTAGTTTATTTACAAATGCGATTTCCTTTTTGGGTTTGTACCACTCGCAAAAATAAGTATTTCGGATTATACACATCTTCCCCTATAACAGTATAACCAGAGCTTTTCTTAGCACGTGATTTAATCGATCACAATTTTACCATTTTCATGCTAAACAAACTCTTTCTACGTCTCGTTTCGTTGTTCACAGATATAATAATAATACCAGAAACCCAATTACCAGCGCGTGAAGCTAGAAACAAAGACGATCCCGTAATCGTTGAAATTATTAAACAAAAATGCCAATATTATAAAAATAAAAATAGATTTTGCTTATCTTGTGAAACTTTTAAAAAGACGTAAATTTTCGTGAGAACCATTCCGGAAACAATTACGTTTAAACATTAATACCACGTGACTATCGAATATGAATTAGTATTATTTTAATTAATTAAATGACTAAAATCAGTGCGTAAAATGAACTGCAAAAAATTCTTTGCAACACTATGGACTGCATCTTTAGTTTAAACAGTTGAGGTAATTCGTTTAGCTTTAGTTTGCTTCTGAGATCACCTTCGCTACACCCAATTAGGCAAAGTTATTAATATATGCGTTTATGAATTATGAAATATGATGTAAATAACAAAAATTAAGCGATCAGATAGGATTTACCTGAAATGCTTTTAATGACAATCTCTTTCTACGGATCTTCGGCTGGTTTGTAACTGGACTTTTCTAGCAAAGGAAAACATCCGATTTCACACAATATTTAATAATAGCGATAGAGTGGTACTGTTCATCCAGAAATTATGGAAACACACGCGATTGTCAGATAAAATATAGTTTTTAAATTCTAGTTGTAAATATTGTCCTACTATTCTTTGAGATAATTGAATCTTATTTTGTCCATTCAGTCTCCGAATTATTTACAAAAATATCAAATTCCCCTTTTTCTTGATCTCCAATTTGGTTTCGAATCTCTTCCAAATTATTCCCCTGAACCCAATTCATTTAACTACATTTAAAAAAAATTATTAGCTTGCAATGAAAATTAATGTACATACATACAAGGTCAGTAAACTAACCTATATCGAGAATCTTTTTCTTTCTAGAAGCAATATTAACTCGAGCTCCATTTTCACCACCTATAATCAACACAACTTTGCCTTTTAAAGAGAACAAGTTGGAGGTCTGCAAATCACCCGACTATTTCTGTATTTTCTTTATTCAATTAAACCATGGAAGAAACAAAACTTTAATATACTCATGCGTGGAAAAATGATAATCAGTTCTATTTATGGAATCGGCTAATATCATATCCGCAGATTATATCACCACTAACTTTACAGTTTTAATGAAGTATAACGCTAGTAATAAAAAATTTTTTTTTACAATATGTACTGTACGCATCTCTGTACGTTATTCCGAAACGCCCATGTGCGTTATTTTTTGGCGTTATCTTTTTGAATCATACGATTTTTAAAGGATGCAATTTTCGGACTACAGTATCAATTTTATTTTTATTTCTCAAGAATGGCACAGGTAATCGTTTATATGATTTATAAAAAGTAATATCTGATACTTATAGGTTAGCAGCAAATAATTTTAGCAAAAAAATTTTCATTCCGGATCGTCGGTACTGTTTTTGATAGGTAATATCGATTTACATACTATATCAAAAATTAGAATTAGGGTTTGTTTTTAGAACCCTATCAGGAACAGTATTCCAATATTTTTTTAACCCCATCAAGAACAGTACTGCCGATCCATCAAGAATAGTATTTACGTGTAATTCTGTTAAAATAGATTTTTGCTTTTGTTACTTATATTTCTTATTAGCCAATCAAAATTAACGATTATGTAATCTTAAAATTTGATGCCATATTGCTGCTATACTGTAGTATGTATCACTTCTATAAGACGACCTCCTCTTTATTCAATTCTAGGACAACTAATTTATGGTCATCACCTAATAACTTATTTGTCACACTAATCATTAAGTCTAAGAATTTTATTTGAATACAATTCCTTTTTCATCAATTCCAAATTGAAATATGTCAACATCACTCGGATTATCGCTAGGTGTAGTTAATCTCCCATAAAAAAGGGATCTCGACAAGAAATCCACTTTCAAATTATTAGCCTCTTCTCGACAAACATTATACTGAGGGACTAATTGTCTATCTATGATAAATCTATATTTAACAAATGATTGCCAGGCTAAATGTGCAACAATCGGATAGCGCAAGTTGAGCGGAATTCGATCAATAGTCTCTGGTGGTGTTATTGCCCAATTTGTAGTTATAATGGTCACACCAGTTAACTCAATTATCTGCCTCAACACTTGAACATAATAATGAACATTGTTATTTTTCCATGTATCATTTGCGATTATACCAACCTCATCATAATTTTTATCTTCCCAATAAAACGCGTTAATTTGATCAATCATTAAGAAGGTGATTTCATAACCTTCGTTCTGTTGTAATTCCTTCATATATTTTGGTAAATCGAGTAAAGTCGCATAAAAACTTTCTGGTGAATTTGGTTTGAAAACTTGAATTCTCTTTAACGCGTTCTTTGCAATTGACTCGATTTCACTTTCGGTTGGGTTCCATATCTTATTTTCCTTCAAAGTTATTTCCACTTGTCTATGTAAATAATGTAACATCATCGAGTATAAACGTTGAATGTCAAATTTTCCATCCATGTCAAAGAAAATAACACCTTTTCCACGTCCATTCAATTCGATTGTTGTATTAGCTTCTGTTATGTCATATATGTCCAAATTTTCACCGTAGGTTCGTTTCCAACTTGGTGGAAGGATAGTGGTAAGGGCTATATGATATAAAATAGTAGTTTTCCCACCAGAGGCTGGTCCGTAAAATTCAATAACATCGCCTCGTTGAATAGAGGCTTCTACATGTGAGTTGGAAGTGGAAGGGGTGATAGTAGCTGTGTTAGAATGAAGTGCGGTATTTCGATATTTACGTGCTTTTATAAGGGCATCGTCAAGAAAAGAAATGTGAAGGCGTTCAATTTGATCAATTCGAGTAGAGGGATGAGACTTCTAGATAATTCATAAACGTGAAGTAAGTACTAATGAAAGTGCTTTTTAAATTTAAAAAAAAACTATACATTTTCTAAAATCGACATTTGTATATACTGTAGTGATTCAATCCGATTAAATTTTTATTGCTTACTAGGCGTTAAATTTTTATTGGCTTAGCCAATGATTAATTGTTAATGCAGTAATTACGGTTCCGGTCTGGTTTAGGGTGTAAACTTGGTATGCTTTTGCTACTATGCCAGACACCCTATCTATTACTATTTTTTTTCGAAGTAGCTTAGCAAAATATAACTTAATTATTAAAAAAGTTTCAAAAAAAATATTTAAATTAATTAGATTTATATAATTTATAAAGTACTTACGTTTGGTATTAATTAGAAATCTGTATTATTATTATTATTATTATTATTATTATTTTTTAAGCGAAGGGGGTACTTTATTATTATATTAAATGTTTAGATACAACTGAGATATTAGAGGATACACCACATCTAATTATTTATGTACGACGAGACTAAGGCTATGATTAACTATCTATATCTAAGAACTACCTTATACGATAATTCGGAGTATCTCTAGTTTCACAATTTACCTCCGACCTTAAGCAGCATGCTAGGTATACAACCTACACTTAATAGTTCCTATGTCCTACTCATAGTTCCCTTACCGCAATTACCAAAGTTTTTACTTGCAGTTTGTTGTCATGCTTCAAGTTCATCAATGATGTCTTGGGACCCTACTCCGTGGTGTAGAACTCTAATGAATCCACACAGTTCCTTGTTACATTACCCTATTGACCGATTTCGCCCTTATATAGGTTCACTTTTCTTGGACCAGATATCCACTTCACTTTTTCTTTCTTTAACCACATCCTTGATTTCACCAATTTCCAATCCAGTTGGTCCAGCAGGGTTGGTTTGTTCAGACTTTAAGTGTCTCACAGTCTTTCTTTTCTTGGTATGCACATGTTTTTTTTTTCTGGTGTGATTCTGGTGGTCAGGTTAGTAGAACCTCAAATCTAGAGAGTTCTTGTTATCTGGATCTTCCAATTCTTTGGTTTTGGTTTAATTCTGTTTTGTGGCACCATTGTATTTTCACAATTTCCTTTATTCAGGTCTTGCCAAGTTGGTTTTAGATCTTTAAGTCCTCTTATCGGTTTTATATAGTTTTTAAAGTCTTATTTTGAGTTTTCATCACTTATACTGATTTGCATTTCTTTATATAACACGAATGCTTTTAGAACCTTCTAGTATACAATCTAAATTGGTGTGATCAGAGTTACAGATGATAGAACTCAACTTATTAATGAAAATCTGTTACCTTAACACAAAAAATTCTAGTTCAAAATATCTTTGGTAAAATTTGAATTTAATATCTTTGGTCAAGCTAGTTTGGAAATATGACAATTTTACCACTTTATTAAGTTGCTATACCCTCAAAATCTGTATTATTAAAAATACTGTATAATATTTAATAAGCAATTCTCTAGTTACCTAGTTTAAAAATTTTTTTTATATATATAAATTTTACTATAAGTGAAAATACACAGTGCCTCTATTTAAAACTTTTTTTATATTAAATAAATTACTTTTCAGCTTCTAACAAAAGCTGTAAAGCTTATCAAAATATATTTAATACTATAAATATATTAAAATTGATCTGGTAGTTCTTGAGAAATCTTTAAAAAACTTCTTTTTTACATATAAAATTTCTTTAAAAAAATCGATTTTTTATTAACAAAATTCTATATATGAAAAGAAGTTTTTTAAAGATTCTCAAGAACTACCAGGCCAATTTTAATATTCTTACAGTATTAAATACATTTTGATAAGCTTTATAACTTTTGTTAAAAGCCAAAGAGTTTTAGTATAAAAAAAAGTTTTAGATAGAGATATTGTGCATTTGCATTTATAATAATATATATATATATAAAATTTTTGAACCAGGTAATTGGAGAATTACTTATTAACAATAAATAACTTATAAGTTAAGATTTTGTGGTTTAGTGGTTTAGACATCCAACTAGAGTTCTCAGCATAATAAAAAATTTTGGCACATGCTAAATTTTAATATACTATACTATAATTACGTGATTATATATTTTAAAATTACTTTACATTACTAGTAGTGTTTATTACTAGTTCTAAGAATTTCTAGAGTTAGAGTAGATTTTGGATCAAAATTCTGAACAACAGATTATCAAAAGAATATTATATTAACTAAATTAGCTAGCATTATAGCTAGTACTAGCTAACTTTGTTAGTATTATATTCTTTTAAGGATCTGTTTTTTAGAATTTTAATCCAAATTCAAAATTAAAAAAGACTTTTTTTTTTATATAATATAAATTGGATATAAAGTTTTAATTTAGTTTTTATGAGATTTTTAGAGATCTTGAACATTTTTATTAAGAGTCCATTTACTTAATATGTTTTTAAGATATAGTAATACTAGTACAGTAATAATTACTAGTAGTAATAAATAGCAAACTTAAAAACTCTATACCCAACTATTTATAAGTGGGTTTTGGGTTTTACAAATATTTAAATATACTTATTATAAAAAGTTCAAATAAATATAAGTCTGGATTAGATTAATCAAAAAAGCTCTTTTTGACGATCACTTGAACCAAATTTCCTAACGAAAAGAAAAGCCTATTTGATACTGAAGAGTAGTAATAACCTGTAGTGAGGTGAATCAACAGGGCAGTTTTTATAAAGGTTATCCTTCTCTACCTGTGGGGGACTCCTTTATATATTCAACATGCAAGCCAAAAGTATCAGTATACAAGATAACTGGCAGTTGATGGTGCCCGTGTATACGAAATTTTGGTAGATAGGTGGAGGTAATAGAAGTTCAAGCCTACTATTGATGAAGCTATTAGTTGCGAAACAACTAGGAACAGTAAAGGTTGGGTTTTTCTCAAGCCGCTCTCTTTTATTTGGTCAAGTGGTTCCTCTTTTACTTTTTCTCGTCTCCTTGTCGGTCTTCCAAAAAATTTTGATAAAATGTGGGGATTTGGCTTACCCCCTCCAAAAGATCGGTATTGTTTACATTCCAAATTTGGACGAACTAGTGGAATGCAACTATGTGTTTGTTTACGGACGGATATAGCGCTACTTCACGGGACTTGGCTTAGGAACTCTAATTACAGCAGTAGGTGGCTTGAGATACAGGTTCTTTTTGGGTTAAGATAAGTGTAACTCTCGAACAACAGCAGCACCTGGCTCGAGATATGAATTAGGACGGGCAACAAAGCGATTCGGAGTTGGTGGGAAGATTGGAAAGTAACTTTAACATTAGGGTGAAGCCTTACAAGAAAGATATACAAGCATTGCACTTGTTATATAATTTTTACCAGCCTCGCACAGGTTATAATAGTGCCTTTAAGATCTTAGATTTCTTTTTATGTTTTTTCTTTTTTGCAATCTGGTTTTCTTTTTTTTTGCTTTTTTGGTTTTTTCTTTTTGGTTGTTTTCGTAGATTCTTTGTTTAAACTTTTCCCTCTTTTGTCTCGTGCCCCTTGAGAAGAAGGAAGAATTTGAAGGGAAAGTGAGGTCTTGATGAGTTGGGAGCTGAGCCCAAGCTATACTATATCTTTAAATGCACCGTGCCGTATGTGGGGTATAGTGGCAATCATCAGTGCGATAACCAAAGTTGGCATCTTTAAGAGACAGCCGGCTTTTAGTCTAATCAAACATTAAGTAGTTTAGTCTTGTATTGAACATCAGACCTTAATAAAATTATAGTACGCAGTTATCAAAGGAAAAAAAAAAAAAATAAGTCTGGATTAGAAATTTCTAAAAAAATATTCTAATAAATAACTAAGTAGTAACTAGAAATAGAGTATTAAAACCAAACTTAAAAAATCTTTGATACTATATAAAACTTATTAACCAATAAGAAGTTAGAGTATAGAAATATATATACATATTAAAATCCAACAAAGCTTTAAATATATATATCTAGAAATTTTCAAATATTACAAAAATTTAAAATTATTAATAAAAATATAGCTAATAAATATATACAGTTAACTCCCTTTAAGTGTATGTTACCAGAACCAGTACTTTAACCTGTATTTAGAGAGAACTTGCAATTAGAGAAAAATTAAAATTATTAAAAATTTTAGTAATAAAAAATAATAAAATTTTTAAAAATTAATAAGTTTTGATCTATTGGTCCAATTTGGATAATTTAACTACCAAAATGATCCTCTTATAGAGTTGTTTTAATGAATCTAAAATCAGCCAAATCTAATTATATAATCTCACTTAAGATCATTAATGATTTGTATTATATTTACTATAGTAAATATAATATAAAATATTAAAGATCTCGAGATTACTGATCATATAATCAGATTTGGTTGATTTTAGATTCATTAGAATCGCCTCTATGAGAGTATTAATTTGGTAATTAAATTATCCAAATTGGATCAATATATCAAAAGTTATTAAATTTTAAAGGGTTTTTCTAAATATCTCTGGCCAGAGATATATAGTTTATATATCTCTGGCCTTTTGACCAATCAAAGAACAGGAAGATCACATGACATACATTGATCTGATTGCCGATACAAAATTGGCTGTGCATCGCCAGATCCGAACAAATAAGTATAAATCATCTTGATCTGTTTTTTTTTATTTTTGTTTGTTTTTTTTTTACTTGTCTTTGCTTTTTTTGCTTTACTAACAAATTTTTTTATTTTTTTTTATTCATTTATTTAGTTTGTTATTCTTCATCATGCCGTCGTAGTTGGTGTCATTGTTGGTCTTTTGTATTTCTCTAATATTTTTACAGGTTGTCTTTCATTTTCTCCAATGTTTTTGTAGAGAATTGGCCAATAAAATGGCTCTGGTAAAGGTTTTTCTTTTTCTTTTTTTCTCTTTATTTTCTTTAACCTGTTTAGGTTTTTTTTTAGGTTCGCCACGATATGGAATCATTACTGTCTGTCATTATTGGTGCCTCCTTTCATCGCTAATGTTATTCGTTGGTCCTTTCATCATTGGTGTCATTATTCATTGGTGCTTTTTTCATTTTTGTCTTGCAATGTACTGTAAAATAGGCTTAGGGTTAGAGTTAT